CCGATGTATGGATCCATGGAATAATCGACGGATGAATACATCCATGAATGTGGCTGTAAACATGATCTCCGTCCATGATCCGGATTGATCCCAGAATGCGCACTGATCCATGATGATGATGATGATGACGATGATGATGATGATGATGACGATGATGATGATGTGAGCAAAGTACAGAAAAACATACAACTTCCTGAATCATCATCATCATCATAATCACCATCATCATCATCATAATCACCATCATCATCATCATCATCATCATCATCACCATCGTCATCATCATCATCGTCATCAACCCTTGCCTTTCAGGATTCCCTTCCCTATCCAGCAAACTCGCTCTCAGTCGTTCAAAAAATAAAAAGGTAAAAAAATTGCCGGCATGGCATTTCCTCAGAACGGAATCGAGGAGAAGTGCGTGCGGGGATTAAAAAGAGAAAGAAAAATCCTAACAGCAGCAGCCAAAAAAGTGTGTCGTTGATACAATGCATGTGGACAATGCGCAGATTTTTTCAGATCCCCCCCCTCCCCCCCCCCTAACGGAAGCTCCATAAGGTGATGGCGGTCCCAGTCCAGAGTCCCAGTACACTCCGGGTTGATTTGTGAGGTTCCCCGCTCTCTTTCTCTTCTTCTTAAAATATTGGATAATTGGAATTAATGCGTTCGCGGGAAAAGGGGTGGGAGGGGAAAGGGAAAAAAGGGAAAAAAGGGAAAAAAGGGAAAAAAGGGAAAAAAAGGAAAAAAGGGAAAAAAGGGAAAAAAGGGAAAAAAGGGAAAAAAAGGGAGGGGGGGGGGGAGGGAAAAAAAGGGAAAAACAAAAAGAACAGGAACAGGGGGAGAAAAAGAGAGGAAAAAATACGACATCTCGCGCGATGGTAAGGTGTCCAAAAAACGCCGAAAAGGCCGAAATTGCGGCCAGGTACATCGAAATTACTGTAAATGCCCAAAAGGGGGGGGGGGTCCTTCGGGACATCCTTTAAAACTGGAACAACGATACAGAGAAGATTGATTAGCATGGCCCCTGTGCAAGGATGACACGCAAAAATCCAGAGAAAAAGAGGGATAAATGGCAAGCCAAGAAAAAAGAGGAGGGATAAATGTCCAAACAAAAAAGGGGTATTTACTTACAGCCATGGTCATGATGGCAGGGAGGGGAGAGGGGGGGCGGGGGGGGTAGGGTACAAGAGATACTAAGAATCACAACGATGATCGTGTACTCTCCTACCACCATTTTCTTTCTCTCTTCCCCTCAACATAACCGTCTTCACCGCAATGGCACGTGCGGTGGTTATCACCGTATCTAGACTAGCAGTTGGTCCAGATACAACGATAATGACCGTGCGTTCTACTCGGAAGTAGAACGGTAGCAAGTCGAATGCCCAATGATGACAATGCTCGTGACCTGGAGGAGCACTACCGTCCCTACCCGAATAGAACGCCCGGTCAGTATAGCTGTATTTGGTGCAACTTTCAGTCCAGATGCAATACGTAATAATGACCGGGCGTTCTAATCGGGTAAGTTATATCAAATCAGCTATGCTGACCGGGCGTTCTATTCCGGTGAAGACGGTAGCATTGTCCGCCGCACTATCAGCAGCAGAGGCGAAGGAGAACTTTCGTCATCATCATCATCATCATCGTCATCTTTTCATCATGAATGATGATGATGATGAGAAGGAGAACTTTCAGCAGCAGCAGCAGCAGCAGCAGCAGCAGCAGCATCATTCATGTGACAGAGATTGATCATCGGTGCTGTGATGACATCATACCGATCGCGACCGTGGTGATGACGATGGGGATGACGGCTATGTGTCCATGTTCAGCGACAGAAAGCAAAAACAACACCCACACGGACATACATGCTCAACCCGCACATTCCCCGACGCGCGTTTCTCCTGATTGCGCACATTCGCCCACTCGTCGAGGGGCTTGCCACACTAATCGAGCGAGGAAGAGGGGTTGATATGATAACTACAATCAAAATTGATCATATGATTAAAAAAAATCATGATGTGCACTTCAGGTTTGGCTGCGTCGGTCTACATTCGCGTGTTTTTTTCTTTACCACCGTCGCCGAAGCACCACGCTGCTGCCCCAATCGCGATGACGATGATGATGATGATGATGATAATAATGATGATGATAATGATGATGATGAAGATGATGATGATGATGAAGATGATGATGATGATGATGATGATGATGATGGTGATCATTAACGTTTCATTCCTTTTTTTAATCCTACACTGTTATTCTCCTCGTTTCTCTTTTTATGAACAAAAAATGCAGAGATTTTCTGTCACCAAGGACAGGTAGACGATTTTTAGGAGCTGACGCGTGTGCGACCCAGGGTTTAACGCATTGACTGAACTCAAAACAAGGTTTAAAGAAGACTGGCCTTTAGTGAATCGAACGGATGTCAATGACGGTTGGACATTCCTCTCTCTCTCTCTCTCTCTCTCTCTCTCTCTCTCTCTCTCTCTCTCTCTCTCTCTCTCTC